ATGTGTGTATGTATGAATGTATGTATGAATGTATGAATGTATGTATGAATGTATGTATGAATGTATGAATGTATGAATGTATGAATGTATGTATGTATGTATATATGTATGTATGTATGTATGAGTCTATATATACTAGTATGTATTGACGTATGGATATATGTATGTATGTATTTGTGCATATATGCGTGCAAGCATGTGTGTGTTTTGTGTGTAAAAGTTGAGGGGCAAAGGCTTGGTATGGACCGGAGGTGACTGTATTTAGAGTCGGCAGAGCGATACCGGATAAACTCGGCCGGCTAAGGAATTGTGGCGAGAGGAAAGATGAAAACTGGCTTCGAGATCACAGTTGCCCACCTACGACCCCAGTTCTCCCCGTTGCCGGCCAGTGTGGTTGCCGTGCTTCTCAGTGGGGAAGAGTTCCGGATAGAGAGTAGGCATGCCCTGCAAGTCTGGCTCTTCTGTGAGCAGCGAGAACCAACGGATATGCCAGTCATCGGTTAATGAATGGATACTGGCCTCTTGTCCTCCGTCCTTTTTGGAGTGAGGCGTTATCTGTAGAGCATTACAGCAGCATTTCAGGCAGGTTATAATAACACACAAATATACCATCAGTTAGCACTTGGTAACCGCGATTAATGCCATTACGTCATCCGAGAGAATAATGGTCCAATGTTTGAGACTTTGCTGCACAATTATGGGTTTCAACGTCACCAAAGTGCTCAGTGTCCACAAAGAAGGAGCTCGTATCAACAGAACTTTGTGCTAAGCACAACCTCTTTCTTCTCACGTTCAATCGCGAAGACGGACATTTCACGTCAAAATGGCAAGCAGGAAACGGCCAAATAATTAACATATTCGTGTGAATCCTATTCTCTTTTCATAATCTAGCCATAGGCCAGAAGTCGTGCTAAATGATCCTAGCTTCTCTATTTGGTTGGATCCAGAAAGTTGGCCGTCTACCGACTGGTCTTTAGTTAAGACGACCCTAAGCTTGACATGTTGTCTTCACTGTTATTTGGTTGGAAGACCAGTTGTTGGTAGTCACTGGAAATCTCCTCCTGCAAACCGATGGTTGTTTTACGGGTGTGCATATTCTCAAACCAGTATTCATAATAATCCACTGGCTCAGAGGATTATTTGTCTGAAACCCGGTATAGAAACCCGCTTTGGATGTGAATGGTGACATTGATACATTCCCAATGCCCAGAGCAATTGGAAGTGATAAATTGAAGGAGTAAAGTGATTTTTAGTTTGATAAATAGCTTTCAGTTCTACCAAATTGAAAGCTTAATTATGAAACAAAATATATATATTGGGATTCTCAAAACTCAACTAGTAAACGAAAAATAATTAATATAGTTAATTGACACAGAAAATACGACTTTGTTTCGTTAACCATCCCACCACAGACGCTCCTCTAAAGGTCTCCTCTGACCTGTGATACAGGGACACTCGTGGGAGTGTGGCGCAGTGGTTAACGTGTCGAGGTAGTACTCGAGTTCGAGTCCCGCTGAAGGTGCTGAGTAAATCAGTTGAGGCGAGGTCGAAATCGCAGTCCAGTCCAATCCAGTTGTGATGGAACTGCCTTTGTGGAAGCGAGGACATGTGGAATTGAATGGAAGCATGATTGTGGAGCAACTCAGCTACCAGTCCTTCATCATCTTAAACGAAATAGGTTCAATTCCCTTCTTATGCCACTGTATGGAATCGGCCTTTGAGCATCCAAGGATTGAATATCTGTTCAACCCGATTCAGCAGACTCTATTTGGCTGGGCGACTTTTTATAGGTTGGAGGAAAAGCATCAAAATGTAATTTTGATACCGTTAAAATAAAATATCATCCATTTCGTCAGTGTGTTTTTCTTATTTTGAGTGACAAATCATGGCGAAAAATGGCATCAACCTTTGCATGTCAGAGCATATGCACTCATTTTACCTACATTTTGCTTAAATAATCGCGTTTTATGCTACCAGTAACTCTTGCATAAGAATTGCACTCATCCCAGATACAAGCAGGAAACTGTCAAATAATTAGCACATTCGTGCAAATGGTATTCTCTTTTTATGCTATTTAATTACAATTGGCCCAGGGTTATGCAATTTCCACCTCTTGTGGGTTTCATCAGAACCCGATTATTATAGCATAAGCAAAGTAGTTGGAGTTAGTAGTCGTTGCTAAAATTTCGGAAACCCGTTTCAACGCTCGATTCATTCCTTCTTCGGAAATACACATTAACTTCGCCCATTATTAATGTCTGTTAATCTTCAATTATAAGCATTCACATTTTCGTATTAGAGAAGAGTTTCGAGACTACCATTAAATCAGTAATATGAGGTGTACTTACCCTATTTCGTCTAAGATGATGAGGGACTGGTAGTAGAATTTTCCCACAATCATATGAGTAGAGCTGACGTTTCCATTCAATTTCACATTGCCTTGC